AGACAGACAGATAGATAGAGAGACGATAGACAGATAGAGATGATAGACAGATAGACAGACAGACAGATAGAGAGATGACAGACAGACAGACAGACAGACAGACAGATATATTGGTGGACTGGCAGAGCGACAGATAGATACAGTAGACAGAATGATAGATAGAATGATATGTGGCCAGTTCATTTCAAATTCACACTCATGAAATGCATACAATTTTTCAATTCTCAATTTTGCACAACCTTGTCAGACCACAAAAACACAAACTTGTTCCTTAAGTTTGAGTTCGGTGTGTGACACCTTTCAGTTTCTCTCCTTGATAATTTAGTGACGTTCTCTACTACATCTGTCTAATAAGGCAAAAAACAAACAAACAAACAAAAAAGAACTACAGTGACCGACAGGACTGGACTGAAACCACATCAAATCATTCATTAAATTCAATCTGCTATAGTGAAAGAAAAAGACCTTCCTTTATGAGTTCTCATGTACAGTTGTAACGTGTGGGGCGGGGGTTTGGTTTCCAGAGTGACAGAGAGCAGAAGTGCGGAAGGAGCAAGCACTGGACTGAACAAAGCGCGCAGATGTTCCTCATTGCGGCTCATCTGCATTCTAATAAATGAACAGGAATGCAATCAGCTGCCATAGTTCTCCCTCTCAGCCTATATATAGCCAACACGCACTTACGCAAACACACTCCAACTGTTGTCTGTGTGTGTTTAGAGCACGCAATCACAGGAAATTACAGCACCTGGCCTCTCCCCTCCTCTTGTACTCTCCTGCTAACCACTGACTGCTCACTCAGACTATTGAGATGTAGCTCAGAGGGGAGGTATAAGTGTGTGTGTTTGAGCATTTATGACACTGAGGAAAAAAAGGGCAAGTGGATGTTTTAAACATGGAAAGAGATAAAAGGGCTGGAGATACTGGGATGTAAATGCAGGACAAGTGAAAAAAAAAAAACAAAGGCTTCAACATATTACATGTCTGTAATAAGGCTCAAATTCTTTTCATGTTTAGCTTCAGATTTACGTGAAAACACACATGGCCTTGAGGACTTGGCATCGAATGGAACTAAATTGTTTATTTATTCCTCTGAGGATGGAATAACTGAGGGCTTCCCCGGCAATATGTAAACCGCTGGGTACTGAGAGAGGGAACGGTAATTGCATTAGGACATGGCTTACATACCCACAATTCCTCTAGAGGACAGTAAATGAGGCAAGTTGATGCAGGTATAACGCACCGATGTATGTCACCTGCCTCGCCTTAGCGGCTGGTGCAGGGTAAGGTGGATCTCAGGAGCGTTTCTAGTCATCAAACAATTGTCCCCATATTTTGATACTCTTTTTTGATAGTGGCTAAATTAACGAAAAATAAAGCATCAACAGACACAGACCTTTCCCAACAGCACAGCAGAAATGACTTTATGACCAACTTCTTCTAAAACCTTCAAATTGGCTGTTATTAAGCCTCTCATTAACTGGATGATGACATCACTGAATCATCAATGAACTGACTTTAGCTGGAAAAATGACTCAGGATGTTATTGTCTTCTTGCTTTATTGAAAAACTATTTTCCTGTTTAACACTGTAAAGCTGCTTTGACACAACCAGTATTGTATAAAGCGCTATACAAATAAAGGTGACTTGACTCGATTAAATATCCACCACCTCCAGTGCTCTTTTTATTTTCTGTTTTATAAAGTATCCAGTTATGCTGTGAGAGACTGCGCGAGTTTACAGTCCAAATGAATCAAACTGAATCGTGAACAATTTCAGACCTTTTTGCAGACCTATTTGATCGATTACATCAATGGTGATTAATTTACGAATCTGATCATCACAATCAATGTTAGTATATTGATTCTATAAAGCTGATAAAAACACACACACGACATGCTTGCTGAAATATTATCAGGGACATTAGGGTTTTTCACACTTATGAAATATCAAGTTCTAAACCCTGGGCAAACTGAATCCTGGGTTTTCTTGCTTTACGTTTCACAATGTTCATAATTTACCTGGTGTTAATTCATCCTGGGTATTCATAGGCTGATGTTTCACACTGTACATTCCAAAACCCTGCGTAGACACTTATTCTTATTCTTATTTTATCATTGTCATTGATTGGACGAATGCAGCACTCGACCTGTTTACATAATGGCTCTTGCATTGTGCATCCTTGTATCATATATTCCCGACTGTACTATCAAGTTTTTCCTGAATGGAGTTTTCGGTGGACTATAGACCAATTTCAGTGTTTGCAAACAGTTATGACATTTTTTGTGGGCGGAGCCAATCTGGTGGCAGAAAATGCCAGTTTTAACGTAGCAGTCTATGCAAGCCATGGAACAAAAGAATTAAAAAAAAAACAAGGAAATTTTGAGTTTATATTTTAAAATTCTGACTTTTTTCTTGCTATTCCGAGATCATATTTCACAATTCTGGTAAGAAAAATCAACTCATCATTCTCTCTTTTTCCCTCGGCTCAGAATCATGAGTTTATATCCTACACTTCTGGCTTCTTTTCCTCAGAATTGACAAACTCGCAATTATAAAGACCGAACTAGGAGATATACACTTGCATTTGCAAGAAAAAAGTCAGAATTGTAAAATAAAATAGGTAAATGTTATGTCAAATGTTTAAATAGTATTTCATGCTTTAACTCTATAGGGCTAATAAAATATGTCCCCTATGTGAATATTATAGACCTACTGTTTAAATCAAATTTATGCTTTAAAAGTAGGGTAATCATAGCAGGTTTCATCCATAGTTTGTCCATTTAAACGTCTGCATTTAGCTTCAAATAATGTCTTTGACGACAGTATTCTATAAAAATCATTTGCATTCCGATTCTGACATTCAAAGGCACAACAATAAATTTGTTCTCTTATTCCATGGAGTTTACCCGTTTCCCTCAACTTGTTACCAGTGTTTTTCTGCCATCACAATGCGCGCGCAGCTGCATGTGACGTAACTGTGACGTCTACTCCAAATTGGTCTATAGAGGTAAAAATAAAACGGTCTTCACTCCAAAAAAGCGGTGCTAAGTCTACTCCAAAGCAGGGATTCATAACCCCAGATAAAAAGCAGTGCTATCCCCACATCCAAACTACAAGTGTGAAATGTACCTTTATCTGGGGATAAAAGTGTGGTTTAGAACAGTGATAACCTGGGATTACACACGGTGTGAAAAGTCCTAATGATTCTCAGGTTGTAATACAGTAATCTCCACTATCAGGCAAAGATTTGTCAGTAATATTTTATTGGCTCATGCCCAGTAAAAAGGATTTAGCAACGGCCCTGGTGGATCTGCCATTTGATTCCTCATTGATACAGAGAAAAACTTCTATATTTTGGGCTGCAGAATGGCAGTAACTAACACATCTTTCAGTTTGATGGGTCATTTGCAGCTGACTGAAGAAAGACGCTTCTTATAGCAATGTAGTGCACATATGGGCATATGGGCAATGACAGTTTCTGTTTTGATTCATGTGAAATTCAAACTATAACCTATTGATTTTTAATACAGCACCATTTCTACTGCATGGTAGCATAATGCATTTAAGCATCTGTGGTCTATCTCAGAGGTGCCGGGATATAAAAAGCTAATATATTTAGCGGGAAAAGTCTCCATTTACAGTTGCGTCTAAATCAGATGGCAAATCACCTCCCAAATTGGAATTTGAATCCTTCTTTAACCACAATATTAAAAAAAAGACTACATTTTGTAGTTGAAAAAACAAAACAAAAAACAAAGTCAAAATATCTTTTCATGATCAATTGTTGGTACTCAGGTACTTGTGCTTATATTTTTCTGCCAGTATTTGACCCATATTTGGACTACTGTTCAAAACTTTGGGGTCAGAATAGATATACTTTTTTGATAAAGTAATACTTATATTTATTCAGACACATTAAATTGACCCAAAGTGACAGAAATCTATTGTAACAATGTACAAGTCTTTACTATTTTATAAATAAATGCATTTTTTTTCAATTCATCAAAGAATCCTGAAAAATAATGTTAGGCAGTACAACTGTTTTCAACATTGATAATAATAAGAAATGTTTCTTGAGCAGCAACTCATCATATTAGAATGACACTGAAGAATGGAGTAATGGCTGCTGAAAATACAGCTTTGCATCATAGGAATAAATTACATTTGGAAATATTAAAAGTTATTTTAAATCGTAATACTCTTATTTTACAATTTTGTTGTTTCTATGGTATTTTAATCCTTGATGAGCATGAGAAACTTCTATCAAAAACATGAAAAAAATCTTTCTACCCCAAATTTATGAACAGTAGTGTCGTTGCCATTTTACAGACACAGACAGTCATAAAGACACACACCATATCTGTGTAGAATGGACTAGTGTAGACAGTAGACAGACTGCAGAGGAGTGCAGGAGTCTTCCATTATTCACAGGAAAACGGTATAAACTACAGACTCATAAAAGCAGCTTTATTATGGAGGAGAGTCTATTTGTATAAAACATAACATTTATATTATATATAAACATCAATTCCACCCCTCACTCACAAACACAAGTGGCTATTTGATTTGAAAGGGGCACAAGCATCTTGGGAGCACTTTGTCACTGCAGTAAACTACCCAGAGTGCCTCTCTCCCCTCAGAGCCAGACATTCTAGCTTACAGCAGTCTCATTAAACACCACATCTACAGGAAAGAGAAACAGAGCGCGCTAATAAGCGCAATGAGGGGAGATTTAGAGACTCTGGGTCAATCTCATCCCTGTTTTAATCTGACACTGACAGAGTGATCCTCACATGCTGAGGAAGCTAACCTGTGCGCTTGAGCTGGAGGAGAGTTCGCCCTCTCCTTTAATTAAAACACAGCAGGCGGGATTAAATGGCATCATGGCTGCTTTCGAGTGGATGTATTTGGCTCTGGAAATGTCAGCTCTTCAAATGTCAGCACCCGGAAGCTCTACCGCAACTACGGCAGCCGCACTGCACAAATCCCATACTCACCAATCACTTTTACGAAATACGCGTCGGCCTCAAAGTTGTTCTTCAAAGCGTGGATGACGTGCTCTTCCTTTCCTTCCACCTTGCTGAGCACGATCATATCTAATATACCCTGCAAATGAGAAATCAGAAACAATGTATCGAGCCCATTGAATCTCTCCCGTCTGATGAGCACTCATATGCTTAATGGACTCCAGCAAGCTATTACGTTTCTTATCAGCCCCTCTCTGCGGTCTATCGGTCTCGCTCTTAAGAACACGGTTGCGCGGGGGCTCCTGTACAGATAGCATCCTAATACTTTGCTAATGATGACTAGCTTGAATGCTAACAGAATGAGACATGCGTGTGCTGTTTGTTTAATGAGCCTTTAGCTCCATTAGTTATGTAAGCACGAGGGAATTTGAGGTAATTGGCTATATTGTGATTATGACGGGGAGAAAGCTACGGATACAGATGGAGAGAAGGGTCGAGGGAAAGAGAAAGAGTGAATCTTAGTGTAAAAGGAACGGGAGAGATGATGGCGAAATAAGACACATTCACATATAGATGCTCGAGGACTGTGTGCAGAAGTGAGACGTTTGACTTCTTTAGGTGAGCACTAAGAAGCACAAAAACCAATACAGACCCGCAAACATGCATGACTCATACTTTGCTCACACTCATGCAAGATTTCTTCAGCAGACAAGCGTGAGAAAGACATAAAGAGGGTCAGAGATAGTAAAAAAATAAGTAATAGATTCAGTAATTTCAATGCACTGTCTGTAATCTTTCAGCAAAAGCAGCTTCAAAGCCAGCAGCTATCAGTCTAGACATGGGTGAGCACACAGACTTTAATGGTCACTGATTCAGTATGGAGGAATCTCACAAAACGTCACACAACTTACAGCAGACATGTCTATGTCCACCAAAAGAAAGAAATCATTTTGCTTGATGAAAATGAAGACTGTTTAAATATAGCACTATATTCACAAGCATGCCTGTGAATTCTGCAAAAAAAAAAAAAAAAAATGAATACATAAATAAATGATTCTAATAATTGTAAATTTAATTTAATTAGCACACTACTGTTAAAAAGTTTGGGGTCAGAAATTATTTGCTTTATAAAGATTTTCAGCAAGGACGCATTAAATTGATCAGGAAAGACATTTATAATCTTAAAAATGTAATTTTTTTGTTTAAAATAAAGGCTGTTCTTTTGAACTTTATATTCATAAAAAAAAAAAAAACAGCATAGAACGATTTCTGAAGGATCATGTGACACTGAAGACTGGAGTAATGGCTGCTGAAAATTCACAGGAATAACTACATTTTAAAATATATTAAAATATAAATAATATTTATTTTATAGTTGAATATTTCACATTATTACTGTTTTTACTGTATTTTGAACAAAAAAATGCAAACTTGGTAAGCATAACAGACTTCTGCCAACAGCATAAAATCTTATCCACTCCAAACTTTTGAAAGATATCGTATATTTAAATTGTAAAGTACTTGCACATTGTGGTGACATTGGTTTTCCAATTATTAATTGTATTAATTAAAATATCTGAATGCTTTATGGTTATATGAATTATGCGTGGACAAATGTCATGAACACAATTGTCACAAGGCAAAAAAATCTTAATGGTTAGAAAAAGGCACATTTTCTATATGCAATTTTTTCTTTTGATTTTGGGGTGAAATGTAACTTGAACATTTCTGTGAGATTAACCCATACTGTATATAGATACTAGGCATTAGACACATTCATGTGTGAGCCTTGTGTAGAATGAACAGTCCGAATCAATGCATCTGATCAAAGGACACTTAGAAATCAATAATCTATAACAAACCGTGAGCACCAGTGAGACACACACAGCTCAAAGGAGAAGAAATAGAGCTGCTCAGGGAAGCTCCACTTAAAATTCGAAAAGCAGAAAACGCCTCAAACCATAAGCACACCCTTAATATTAATCACCAGAAACAGTGCAGTGAATTACAAAAGACAAACAGAATGGAAAATAAAAAGGGAGGAGAAAAGCTTTAGTCGCCAAAAGTAAATCCTTAAGGCCTATTTACAGCCATTCTAAAATCTGTAGGAAAATGTTTTTGGTAAAATAAGAATGTAAAATATAACAAGACAACCATTTGAACCTCTTGACACTACATCTAAAAATTTTGAACATGACATTCCAATTTTTTTTCCAATTGTTTGGATGCCAAAATATATCAATAAATCACAGACTAATAAAATATGAAATAAAATAAGTGCTTGGGTCATGTGTCTCATAAACAAGCATTGCTAGATGTTGTGCGCTTCTCAGTGTTATTTTAGTATTATTTTTATACTAATATTGTATTATCATATTTTGAATTAGCTTTTATTTTTACATTTTAAGATTTCCATTTTAATTTTATTTTTTTTAATATTTGTCTGTTATGTTTGTCGTTTTCATTTTTGTAAAAACTCTATAGCGTAAATTTATTTTTTTACAAAAAAAAAAAAAAAAAAAAATGAATACATAAATAAATGATTCTAATAATTGTAAATTTAATTTAATTAGCACACTACTGTTAAAAAGTTTGGGGTCAGAAATTATTTGCTTTATAAAGATTTTCAGCAAGGACGCATTAAATTGATCAGGAAAGACATTTATAATCTTAAAAATGTTATTTTTTTGTTTAAAATAAAGGCTGTTCTTTTGAACTTTATATTCATAAAAAAAAAAAAAACAGCATAGAACGATTTCTGAAGGATCATGTGACACTGAAGACTGGAGTAATGGCTGCTGAAAATTCACAGGAATAACTACATTTTAAAATATATTAAAATATAAATAATATTTATTTTATAGTTGAATATTTCACATTATTACTGTTTTTACTGTATTTTGAACAAAAAAATGCAAACTTGGTAAGCATAACAGACTTCTGCCAACAGCATAAAATCTTATCCACTCCAAACTTTTGAAAGATATCGTATATTTAAATTGTAAAGTACTTGCACATTGTGGTGACATTGGTTTTCCAATTATTAATTGTATTAATTAAAATATCTGAATGCTTTATGGTTATATGAATTATGCGTGGACAAATGTCATGAACACAATTGTCACAAGGCAAAAAAATCTTAATGGTTAGAAAAAGGCACATTTTCTATATGCAATTTTTTCTTTTGATTTTGGGGTGAAATGTAACTTGAACATTTCTGTGAGATTAACCCATACTGTATATAGATACTAGGCATTAGACACATTCATGTGTGAGCCTTGTGTAGAATGAACAGTCCGAATCAATGCATCTGATCAAAGGACACTTAGAAATCAATAATCTATAACAAACCGTGAGCACCAGTGAGACACACACAGCTCAAAGGAGAAGAAATAGAGCTGCTCAGGGAAGCTCCACTTAAAATTCGAAAAGCAGAAAACGCCTCAAACCATAAGCACACCCTTAATATTAATCACCAGAAACAGTGCAGTGAATTACAAAAGACAAACAGAATGGAAAATAAAAAGGGAGGAGAAAAGCTTTAGTCGCCAAAAGTAAATCCTTAAGGCCTATTTACAGCCATTCTAAAATCTGTAGGAAAATGTTTTTGGTAAAATAAGAATGTAAAATATAACAAGACAACCATTTGAACCTCTTGACACTACATCTAAAAATTTTGAACATGACATTCCAATTTTTTTTCCAATTGTTTGGATGCCAAAATATATCAATAAATCACAGACTAATAAAATATGAAATAAAATAAGTGCTTGGGTCATGTGTCTCATAAACAAGCATTGCTAGATGTTGTGCGCTTCTCAGTGTTATTTTAGTATTATTTTTATACTAATATTGTATTATCATATTTTGAATTAGCTTTTATTTTTACATTTTAAGATTTCCATTTTAATTTTTTTTTTTTTAATATTTGTCTGTTATGTTTGTCGTTTTCATTTTTGTAAAAACTCTATAGCGTAAATTTATTTTTATTTCAGTTTAAGTTTTAGTAATTTTATTATAAACTTACAAAACTTATTTTTTATTAGTTAGTCGCCAAGACAACATTTCTAATTATCTAGTTTACAATTTTCATATAACATTTCTATTTTATTTTAGCCACACTAACACTTATTCACATCAGATTTAGACCAAACAGCTCTTAAGACTACAGAGACTGCTATATTATTGTATGACAGGGTGTGAAGCATCAGAGACCGAGGTTTGTGGGAAATGTAGATTGTGTAGTTCTCTACTCTCAATGTCAAAAGAAGAGCGTGCCTGTGTCACACCACTGGGACAACATTACAGTCAAAGCAAATCAGATAATGACTAAAGCTTGGTATAATGGGGGTCACAGAGACATCAATGAGATGAAGAAAGAGTGATCGGCGAGAGAGAAAGGGAGGGAGATTGAAGTAGAGTCAGCGATTTAATTAAAGCGTCAAAAGCAAGGGGAAAAGGCCAACACTTACGTCCTCATAGATGTCAAAAAATGTGGCCACAACAGCCTTGGGGATGGCACTTAGGTCTGACTGTTCCCAGTGCACACGGAACATGCGGCCTGCCGCCTGACAGCTCACGTTATTACACGCCACATTCTCCAACAGGAACGCCTGCTGCTGTGTGCTGCTGAGACAGAAAGAAAGAGGAAAATGACCGTTAATGTGAGTAGATCTGAGAAACACAATGCTAAAAAACTGTGCAAAGACACCGTGTCATGTTAAATGTAACCCTTGCTAATTAAGTTTGCAAGCATATAGCGAACCACTGAACTTTGACCAATTAAAGAGCATGTCTGAGCCTGAACACTTCTTCAATGACAATATTAGACGCATACATGCACACCGCAGAGAACAGTAGAGGAGCACAGGGCTTGATGAACCAGTGAGACTGGAAAAAAGGTTGAAACTTACGCACTGAACTTTTCAATCCCCGAATAAGGCAATTAAGCAAAACCTATTCCTCCCCATAATTCAGTGCTGAGTGTGGGGGAGGTGGATCTGTGAGGCAGCAGTGAATTATGAAATGAGATGCTTTTCTGCATTGCACAACAACCCATCTGTCAGCCCTCTGCTTTATTCAGGACTCTCGTTTCATACCTTTATTTACCATGTGACACTTCTCAGAACTACGCCAATTTCGACCTGGGCGTGTGTGAGGCTAAAAATAGAAACTGCATGAAGGTTTTTCTTCTCTGTCTTCCTTCTGTTGTTTCTCCTTGCTTTCAGAAGAAGGAAATGCAGTTGGGACGTGCACAAAACATACATTTGAAGAATTTGATTTAAAAACAAAATATAGCCACAAGCAGCAATCATCAGGGTCCAAGGTGCATGGTTAGCGATCTAACTGAAATGAATCTCATAATGCGTTCATCTTGAATCTTCACAGAAAGATAGGGTTTAATGAAACGGGTTACATCAACACAGTTGTCAAAAAGGGCAACTGATTTTCAAAAGAAAACTTACGGTTTAAATGAGAAGTCAGAAATAGCCCTCTAAACGTGTTTACTGTCATAAGCTATGTGATCATAATATATGTGGTGTAAGTGTGGACTTCTATTCAACATTCTATATTTAGACAAACTGCATGCCACAGGATGTCAATTTCAAATGAATGTGAAGATATTTGCAGCTCAAAACTTTATCTGAAGCCTTTATCTCAAGGCTTTTTTTATAATTTATGTCTACAGTTATGTATAATAATGCTTGCAGTATAAGTGTTTGTTTTATTATTCATACCACAATATTAAATAAGTGTCTTATAAAAATGTTATAATATATGTTATCTTGAAAAATACATATAAAATTGTCTCTTCATTTTAAAATGATAGCAATATATTTAATCAAGTCTGGCAACTTGAAAATATTTTATTAAGAGTCTATAAAAATGTAATTAAATTTAATGATCTACATTTCACAGATTTCACTGTACACTAATTATATAAATCTATACTGTCAGTACAACATACTTATACAAATGAACTAAACCTATGCATTTATTTGCATTCAAAGAGATGGCAGCTAATAGAAAAATTTTAATTGGGATTAAAATATATCCTGTGCCCCTCTAGTAAGATTCTGGCTCCCTCTAGTGGACAACATTAATATATCTTCATCTTTCAGTTGAAATGGCTGTTAGTTTAGAATTTGCATCATAAATTAATTACAGAGTAAGTTCACCTTTGGTGCTTGGATCCTTAATAACAAAATATCCATATCCAGGGCACCAAGATACTGTCTATTAAACATTAAACACACTGTAACTCGCTAGAGTAGGTCTACTATATAATATACTGTATATATATATATATATATATATATATATATATATATATATATCTCTCACAGATTTAGTGCATCAAGTTCTTAACAGAAGTAGTAATGTCTGTAGGCATAATGGCAGGCCAGAACACGCAAGCAACCATATATTTTAAATTTTAAGAAAAGACCATGTCAATTAGCCAAGCTAACAAAGTTTTTCTTTAAAAAAGGTCAGTCTAGTTAAGATTAGATTTCTTACTCAACTCCCGCTTTTATTTTCCGTTTTATTTTTTCGGATGTCAAATATATACATGATTAAGTGATGAATATACATGAAACGTTTGTTTGTGAATTGGTCTACCCGGCTACAAGGGTTATGCTGTGGGTTTCTGACTCACCAAAAGCCGTTCATGAAGAGTCACCATGAAGTTGACCACAGAGCGCGCAGCCGTGCAGCAGCAGTGTTTTCTTGACATTTTTTCGCAGTACATCTTTTTTATGTCTTCACATTAAAGCGCAGCTGCTACAATTCAGTAAAAACACTGCTTACATTTATATTTTATCCTGGGATAAACCTGGGGTGGCAATGCTTTTTCTTGTGCCACCCTACATAAAAAGATTGAGCTACATAAACAAATGTTCCAGCTTCAAAAGAAGTTGAGCTCTACCAACTGCAGCATACTGCTGATTACCACGGACAATTATTGACTTGTTTCTCAGTCTATAAAAATGATGTTTACAGTAAAATCTATATCAGTACACTACCATTGAAAAGTTTGGGGTTGTTTTTTTTAAATGTTTTTCAAAGAAGTCCCTTATCCTCACCAAGGCTGCATTTAATTGATTATGTGATTTTTGCATTTTCAGCAGCTATTATTCCAGTCTTTAGTGTCATGTGAAATCATTCTAATATGCTGATTTGGAGCTCAAGAAACATCTCTTATTATCAGTGTTGAAAATGGTTGTGCTGCTTAATATTTTTGTGGAAACCGTAAGGCATTCTTTTTCAGGGTTCTATGATGGAATAGTAATCTCTTATTCCATTAGAAGTGTTGTTAGTGTTACTTTTGATCAATGCAATGTGTCATTGCAGGACAAACATATTAATTGCTTTAATAAAAAGAAAAAAGACAAAAAAGTAAACTTCTGAATGACAGTATATCTCTTTCTTACTCTCTACACTATATATAAGTGTACAGTGTTGGTTGTATTTGTGTATACTTACAGTACAAGAAATGAGGCCACAAAGAAACAAAATGGCACACTTGTAGAAGCAAACTAGGCATTTTTTTGTGTTGTATGGCGTTCTTGTCTACTGAAAGTCTTTTCAGAAAGATGTTTAGTCAGCTGAACAATCGGTATGTTGTCAAATAACAGTACAATACATTCAGCACACTGTACTTCCATCCATCACAGCCTCATATTCATTCCCGTAAAAAATTAAATATAGCGCTACCCTGACTAAGGTCTATTCAGTGATTTTATCCATCTTAACCCAAATGATTGACAGGTCAGACTCAGCTGATCTAATGGAGCCCAATACAACCACTACTCTGCTCAATACACATAAGCACCTTTTCTACAACCGCAAATAATGTGATTAATGCTTTAAACTCAAATTCAACTTGGACCATGAAAATGAATTTCCCGGTTTAGATGTCCGGTCTGGTCTGGCAGGTGATGAGACTTTCTGCGCGGATTGTGTTGGTCAATCTGGAGCTTGGTCCACTAATCTGTGCATTTCACAGCCAAAGCCTCTGTGCACCTTTCCTGGCCACCCGTCAGCGCAGGCCGATTTGGGGAGGGCTTTGCCAAAGTCATCCAGCCAAGCAAGCAGACTTTGTCCCCTCACAGGATTAACTGACACCACACTTACTGCAGCACTGAGAACAGCTGCTTTACCGGTGCCTTCGCAGGTTTAACCAGCTGCCGCACACAGAAGGAAAGTTTTTGTCCATGTATTTGGCTGTAAAACTGTCATGACTGCCAATTTAAAGACTAGTAGCTGAAACACATCAGTGCTTTTGGGCAGCAACTGTACTCAAAGCACATAGACAGTTGTGTGTGTGAACCAGAGTGGTATTTTAGGAGGGTGTGTGAGAGTACATACAGTATTTGTCATTATGAGTGTGTGCGTCTGGTTACTGGGCATGCAGGCCCTCCTTCCTGTCCTATCGCTCTCTCACTGGAGCACAGTCATGACCAGTGGCTCGCTGTGCCAACTGCACACCCATGAGCACACACACGCTCCTCGCTTAATTGGGAGCTTTGGACCCAACACCATGGCAAACCCAGCAGGGAACAGCAGGACAGAGGCAAGCCCACAGGCTGACCTCTCCCTCCAACTCTGTCAACCTCCCTTTGTTTTTCTCTCTTTCTACGGCAAAAGAGGGATTTGACTGTGCTGTTTTCCTGACCGCTGTGCAGGCATCAAAATGTGAATTTTTGAGGACGTCAGTTATCCAGAGCACAAGCAGGGTACGAGAAAGAGAAAGACAGGCGTGTCGAGAGGGACGGCAGGCGGCAGGTCTGGAGATTCTCTCAGGGGTAAGATGACAGAAGCAGAGAGATATCGTCCCCCCAGGCATCTCTTCAATACTGGTCCACCCACTCTTCCCGAGGCTTCTTTCTCTCTCTCTGTCGCCATTTGTGTTGGTCTACTTCTTTTTCAATTTGCTCTCGAGGGCAAAAACAAAGCAGTCTGAAGGGTGGATGGCGTTTCAATCATTCGCTACCTCTGCTCTCTCACTGGAAACAGTATGCTTCTGAATAAAGAAGAAAAAGGAAGAAAATACTGTATACAGGAATTTAAAAAATAATCTTGAACCAGAGTTGTGTGTCATTCAGAACAGGATGCAGAATCACAATTATAATAACAATTTAAGGAAATAGAGTTAGATAGAGCAGATGGAAAGCTAATAGATGGACAGAATGACAGATTGATAGATAGAACTGTAGACTGATCGAACGATAGATAGAACGATAGGTAGATAGATACGTAGATAGATAGAACGATAGATCGATAGAACGATAGACAGATAGATAGATAGATAGATAGATAGATAGATAGATAGAGAGATAGACTGCAACTGCACAAACCTGCAGTTTTCAGTGAAAGAGCTACATTGTAAGGAAAGAAGGGTTAATGGCACTCAATAGTTTGAGTGAAAGAAAGCTTCAGAAAGCAAACTGAACAACAGCAGAACTGACATGCTAATGCTTCAGCGCATTGCTGGGCTAATCAGCTCCGACAACAACCATGCTTACTACAAGCTCTCCATGGACTCCAAGTGCTTCATGTAGACTGCATGAACAAACGAGAACATCATTACCAGAGAATGGGAAGTGGATCAGTTTAGATAAGAG